GCGGATGGAAATGAGGTGTTACCCTCCCGAAAACACTGCACAATCGCAACGCGTTTCGGTATTATTTTATCTCCTCTGGGTAAGATAGCACGTCTCGAACCTGCAGCCATTGGAATAGCAGCGGAAACCTCTACCCCTAGGCTACTGGGTCACGACGGGTAATGCTTGGCACAAAGGTTATTGACCAATTGGAAGGTCATTTAGGATTACTTGTTCTGTGATCGGCTCGCAACCAGCAATCTCAATTTGCATCGCAATTCACAAGATATTGTTTCCTGGTCCCTGCGATGACCAGAACCATAGCCGAAGCAGAGAGAAGTGGGGGGGGGGGGGTCAGAAATCTCTGCACATCCACGACGCGTTTCGAAATCATTTGATCTCATCAGGTGCGAATAGAAAGCCTCGACCTTGCAACCATTGGAAGAATCGCGGAAAAAATTATATTTATTCTTACCCGTTCAAGAGGTCCAACGTATGGCACAACGGTTAACGACTAAAAGGAGGGCTACCAAATTTTACTCAATGTAAAATACGAATGCGAAGCGATCTCGCCACGGGAACCGCACTTCCCATTGTAGTGATCCTTGTTCACTAAGACCACTGCGACTCTAGCCGAAGCAGATGGAAATGAGTTATGGCCCTCCCGAAAATACTGCACAACCATGATGCGTTTCGATTACATTTTAACTCAACAGGTAGAAATAGCTGACCACGAACGCGCAACCAATTAAATGGTAGCCGGTACCACCAATCAGTTGACTACCGGGTCAGACGGGCGTACCTTGGCACAACGGTTAAAGACTAATTGGAAGACCATTATCGATTACAGGTTGTGCGATCGGCTTGCGACGCGCAATCTGTGCTCCGCAATTAATTTTGATGTGCTCCTTGGTCGCTGCGATGACTGGGACTGTAGCCAAAGCAGATGAAAATGAGATGCACTCCGCCAGAAAACACTGCACAACCATGATGCGTTTCTATATCATTTGATCTCATCCGGTCAAGAAAGCAGGCTTACTATGCCCTGCCAGTAGAATAGTAACCGAAATCTCTACCCCAAAGGCTACGGGCTCACGAAGGGAAACGATTGGCACAACAGTTAGTGAATAATTGGAGGGTCATTTTGCATTACAGGTTGTGTGATCGGATTGCGACGCGCAATCTCAAGGTGTGCTGCAATTCATATTGATGTGCTGCTTGGTCGCTGCGATGACTAAGACCGTAGCCGCATCAGACGTAAGTGAGGTGTTGCCCGGCCGAATACACTGCACAACCACTACGCATTTCGACATCCTTTGATCGCATTAGTTGGAGATATTAGGCTTTGCAAGCGTACCCATTAGAATAGTAGCCCAAACCTCTATTCCTCTGACCAGCGTGTTATGCAGGGCAACGCTTGACACAACGGTGAATGGCAAATTGAAGGGAGATATTGGATTAAAGGATGTAAGATCGTATATCGAAGCACAGTGTAACTGTGGGCCTAAATTCACATTAAACTGTTCTTTTTATCTGAGAGCATTGTGACCGTATCCGAAGTAGATGGAAATGGAGTGTTACCTGTTAGAGAACACTGCATAACCACGACGCTTTTCGATAACATTTTTGTCATCAGGTGAAGATACCAGACCTCGAACCCGCAGCCATTGGAATAGTAGACGAAAACTCTACCCGTTTGGATACCGGTTAAAGACGAACAACGCTTGGCACAAGGGGTAAGGAATAATCGGAGAGCTATTTGTCATACACGTTTGTGATCGGATTGTGACGCGTAATCTCAATATGGCCTGCAGTACACATTGAAGTGAACCGTTCTCGCTGTGACCACTGCGACCGTAGCCCAAGAAGATAGAAATGTGGTGTTATCCGACCCAAATGTTGCACAACCACGACGCGTTTGGATATCATTTTATCTTATCAGATGGAGATAACAGCCCTAAAACCCACAGCCATTGGAATAATAGCCGAAACCTCTACCCCTTGGGCTACAAAGTTATGGCGGGCAACGCATGTCACAACGGTTAATGATTAATCAGAGAGCCATTTTTGATTACAGGTTGTGTGATGGGATGGCGAAGCACAACCTCATTGTAGACCGTAATTCACATTGAAGGGAAGCTTGGTCGCTGCCGTCACTGGACCGTTGCCGGAGCAGATTGAAATGAAGTTTTGCTTTTCCAACATCACTATACAACCGCGACGCGCTTCGAAAGCATATTATCACATCAGGTGGAGATAGCAGGCCTCGGATTCGTAACCACTGGAATAGTGGTCGAAACTTCTACCTTTTTTGGACACCGGGTCACGACGGGCAATACTTGGCACAACGGTTAATGACTAATTAGATAGCCATTTGGATAACTGGTTGAAATCGGATTGCAACGCGCAATCTCAATGTAGACCGCAATTCCCATTGAAATGTACCTTGGTCACTTCGATCACTGTGATTGTAGCCGGAGCTATGAGGTGTTGTCCGCCTGAAAAACTGCACAACCACGACACGTTTCCATGTCATTTTATCTTATCTGGAGGGGACAGCATGCCACGAAACCAAAACCATTTGAATATATCCGAATCCTCTACCTCTTTGGCTTTCGTTTCTACCTTTTTCCCTCAGTTCCAATTGTTTCTTGTTTGATGCGTGTTATCTTCATCTTATTTGATAAAGTGGTGTCCGAACGCTTCGTGGTTTTGCAGTGTATTTTTGCGGCAATAGATAATTTTCCTCTGCTTCGGTTTCTGTCCTGCTGATGGCTTTGACCATGGTTCTTTTACGTGTGAATTGCGGTTGACATTGCAATTTCGTTTCTTAGTTCGATCACTCTACATTTTTATCCAAAAATGGCCCTAGATTGTTCTAGTGTTTCTCGTATAATAAGCATTGATTTCTCTACGCACTACAGATCCTACGGTTTGGATTAATTCAAGATGATCTATCGAACATTCACCAGAATCGCTTACCTACCTGTACCCCTCACTCATACTTCTTGGATAGCGTTAGTCTCGCGGATTGTGACAACGTGTAATGGGTGCGAGGAAGGCTGGTTAGTAAGGGTCTCCGTTATGATTAGTCTAAGATTCGCTGAAAACATTTTAATATAGTAAGCAGAAGGAAGTTCGTTTGCCAGTTCCGTCGCTTCCTAATCATAGCATGTTGTTGCGCAGTTATTCAATGGTTACATATGAAACAACAAGATCGATACACATTCAATAATAATAAATGTGACAGTCGCTTGCAATATTCCACACTATGTGCGTTAAAGACGTTTTCAAGCAAGGAGTTCCAGTCGTTCACCAGGAGAGTCTATAGCGTACCGTGTGTTATCGAATATAAGCCGAGGAATTTTGGACAATTTTTCTATCCTTTAGATGGATGTCGGCTTATGGAAAGCTTATGTGCAATTTGAACAAATTCACATACAAAATCCACTCAGGGATTCATTACACATCTCTGCCTCATCTCCCCTTATCATCATCATCAGCAGTTGGCGGAGATTTGGTGTGTCCAAATTTTTCCCATTGTTTCCACACAGCACCGCGGGCAGCGTGCTTAATAAATATACGGCTTATTAAAGTGGCGAAAATTCTCGATAGATTGCACATTTGACATTCGCGACAGATGACGTTAACAGAAAATTGCGAGGACATACAATTCAAACACCATCAAACACAATGTCAGGGGGAAAATGATGACAGAAAAGCACTTACCAGCAGATTTTTGGGGGTCAGATAGTATAGTGGCTTACGATGTTGGGCGAATTTGATATCGCAAATTCATACTGTCAGCTTATTCATGAACAGGCCGACCAAGAGTTCCGACTGAAGCCTGGTTCTTCTAGATTTAAGTAGTTTCCAGCAGTTGCACCGAGTCGAACACTCATTGTTAATCTGGAAAAAATATAGTAGCTCTATTCTCCTCCTCCTTCATTTAAACCGGATGATCCCGAGTCTTTTATGGGAATACTGGGGACTATCGTACCGCAGTTAAGTTCATGGTTAAGGTTATACTCGATATTTCATCCGATTAGTTTCTCCTTCATGTAATGCATTATGTCCTCCGGCCAAGGAAAGCATACAACATGATAGATTAACTGTCAGATGGCTTAACAGAATATACCAATATTGCATGCCAGGAATAATAACAGGTGTGAATTAGTTGTGCAGTTTTTACTGGTAGAACAGTAACACAGCATCTGATATTCAAATTTCCGCCACCGCGAACCGGCCCGCTCTCTATTTCTTAATCCTTCACATTAGCATTTTGCTCGCTTACCTAGAGGGAACTGTGCACGGCCTCTGATGCTAATTAGCACAAAATTGCCGCAGAATATGGCGATAAAACCGTGGTTGTTCCTTCATTACATAGTGTCGATTTTTTATTCCTTATACTCACGGTATACAACTTTCGGCTGCCTTCCATCTACTCGAACTGCTTATCTCATTGTTGTGTGCCCGGTTTTAACTGGCCTCAATGCCTTGTAGACTGGTAGTAAAACCGTTAGCAGTTATCTTCATGTACTGCAATAGACAGCACGCTTATAAAGTTCAACACACATTTCACTGCGTCCTGGTATCTGTACCGATTAACAATGTTTACTTAGTTTTGAACGAACAGCAGATCTCCGGTTGAGTTTAACTTTAACCAAGAATGGGTGAAGCAACCAAGCAATCAGCATGTTGCTAGGAAGTTCATTGCTTCTAACGGGTTGACGGTCAACAATTTACTCCCGCAAGAATATCCTGGGAATGGGTTATAGCTTGTTGATGTCAGTTTAAAGCATGCAAAACAAATTGCACATAAGCCAAAAGGCAGAAGACTAAGATAACACAGCATAAATTGCTTTACTGCTATCGTTTAGTTAGGCGGAATGGTAAATGGCGAAATATGGCATCTTTCATGCATAACAACTTCGTGATGACTCGTGACAAAATAAGGAAAAAATCTAAGATGACATCTTTTACGGTGATTCGCGAGGCAATCCATGCGTTCATTCTGTATTTCAATGAAGGTCATTCGGGTGTTTGTAAACGCACCGCCGTAACACGGCATGATAACCCATGTGATGAAGCTCGCAACTGAGAGCATTGTTGAAAAAATTGGATTCAGGTACCAGGAAGTCGGGATTGAAAGAAACCTACAAGGAAACCAAATGTCAGCGGCCAATGCTTAACATGCTAGATATCAAAAAGATGATAAACGAACTCTTGTCCACGATACATGTGTACTAATAATCGAACATGTTGTTTTGAACTACTGCTGCTGAGGTATTTGGCTAGAGTAACCTCCGGGATTGAGTGACAAATCACTTGACTCATTATCCATTTCAGGTATACCGATAACGGGCAGCAGTCGAAGCTGCGTCTTTAGACAATCTGCATTTCTGTAGCTGTAGTTGGACCATTCTGATTAAGTTTTTAGGTGATTCGTTGTGGTCAATCGTTGTGTTTAAAAGACCAAAATATTTGAGTACCACTGAGTAGTGGTTCTTTGCTTTTGGGATCAATCAGCACCCGCGTTACGTAGTAACTTACCCTGCTACGCGTTTGCGATATGCATCGTTTTCACGAGTACAGAAGTGATTTCAAGTTGCGCTGCAGGTTAATTCCGAGAGATAGAGACTACTGGCAAACGCGTTGGCGTGTCTGTCAAACGCCTGGCTTGCTGCAGCGTACTACAATTACAGTCTATGCATGCTGAAGTGTTAAGGCATTAACATCTTTCAGGCTGTTTGTGTAGGCCAACACATGGTCATGCACACTGTCAGTTTAGACACTGAGATACTATACACTGAAATGCCTAAACATATCTAGGTGAGGTAGATGATTATACAGCTTATTAACACAGCGGCTAATGGCTTAGCCATACCAGAAAACTTCATGGTCCATCCCAATTTACCCCGAGGCTGGAATTCTCCAAGTGTGATTTGGGCACACACATCTGCTATCGTTGTTTACTTGATATGTCAATGGCATGGACACCGCAGTCAGGTGATCTTACCCCAGTGAACATGCTATCACAATCATGGCACGTATTCTTTCTGAAAAGTTGCATCCTGCTGCGCTCGATGCGAATGATGATGGGATACCTACCTGAAAGTAGAAGACCACTGAAGTGCCTTGGTTTACCGTTTTTGTGCCCTCCGTGTTCCCAGTAATACGTTTGTGGGCGCTTTCTGGTTACTCGGTACATAAGATGTACTAGCACAATGTTTAACAAATGCTGTGGACTCTTTTGCCCGATGCTATCTACTATCCAATATCAGTGAAGTACGAGAATGACTCTGCCAGCAGAGATGGACAGCCACCAACACCTGCTGGGTATGTTTTCGGTCACTCGCCGAAAAGAAAATGCGGAACGAAGTAGCGAACTATGTTTAACGATGACATTAGGTGGGCATTGATGCCATCGGACTTTACCTAGCAGTCGTTGCTTTCATAAAATCATATTTTCATTCAACGTAATTGACCGGCTTCTGCTGAGTGACCGCTTTGTGGGCCCATGGCGGTCACCGTGAGGCAAACTTGGAATGAGTTACCGTCATTAAATAATGTTCCGTGTAGCCTTACTTCTTCAATGTTGCGCTGTGGCTGTTTGGAAATCGGTTTACGCTGAGTGTGAGCTTTATTTGCAACCAGGAAAAATGCATTCATATCATACTTTATTTCTGCATTGGAATATGTTTTGGTGAGCGACATTAACTCGTCCTAAATTTGTCCCTCTGTGACGGCCAGGGGAAAAACGGTCACTCGGAGAGCATTAACCGTCACTCCAACGGACATTTTCGCTCACTGATGCTACGCAGTTTAAAATGCGATGCACAGTACTGAAGACGTAAGACTATACTAAAAGGTTTATTAGGTGCCTGAAATTCGTCCAAAATGTGTCTCAGTGGAACCGCTAGGGGCAAACTACGGTCATCCAAGGACAGTCTCTCAGCCACTAACGCTGACCTGATGTTCGATTTTCTTAAAAGTGAAATGATTTATAGATAAAGCCGGGTGGCGCTAACAATGCATTATAATTTTTATTGTCAAATATGAAACTATTGCGCCAGGTCTTTTCGTTGTTCATATTATCGTTGCGAGTAAACGAAAACACACCCATATTGGACAGCTGAACTTCCATCTGCACAGACAGTGTGTCCAACCCCACTGCCTTAACTGCTGGCGGTAGGAGATGCTGCTACTTGCTCTATACTGAAGGGGGTGTGTGGGTTGTGTGACCTTCATGCCAGTAATCGTATAACTGAAACTGGCGCTATAGCGAGTATGGTCAATGCGCTGTCATGCCTCGGATAAGCGAAGAATCTAACGAATAAAAGGTCAACCGTAGAAGAGCAAGAACACGAAAAATAAGCTAGAGAAAAGTTTGTTAAAACGGTTTTAAGATAACTATAGCTAAATATAAGTCACAACATCCATAGGTAGCTGGGGAAGATGCGAGTGTCTGCAGAGTCTGTATGTGACTGATGGAAGCTGCTGGCGGATCGTGCCAGAAAGATGTGTGTGGATGTTTACCTAAACAGAAATGTGCAACTTCCAAACAAGTTAGTCACTTATTTCCCTAGTTACATTCGAAAACCATAATATTATAATTTTTGGCAAATTTCCCATCATAGACGGTAGCCAGACAGAAGGATCTCCAAGTCACTACAACACTGCCTGTTCACCAACCCATATAAAAGTTTAGAACGACTTACGCAATTTGCTCAAAAATACGTGCCTAACAAGTGCCAATCGCTTGAAAATTTAACAAGCAGAATTTGCACTCATCGCTATGCATGCCATCGCTGAACGCCGTCATAGCTTTGGTGCACTGTTAACCACGAACTTGTCTAACCAAAAATCATGTCCTTGTTGAGGAACTCTGAAGTGCTTTGTAATTATTCGCGAATATTATCCGTAAATACCCCAAAGTTAGTTATGCGAATCCACACCGAATATGAGATAGTTGGACGAAGCTGGGGATGGCGTAGCTCAAATCGTACACAAGCCCTATTTGAAAACCAAATCCTACGGACGGTTGCAGTGAATGTAGAATATAACTTTGGAAAAACGACGCAACTTATTATTGAAATTCCCGAGGACTAAAAAGCTTACAAGCTATAGTAAAATCTCTGCAACAACGAGAAAACAAAAAAGTGCAGAATCTTTGAAGAGCAGCTGGCAACCGCCGTAAAATCTACTCTCAAGAGGATCTTCACCTACTTGAAGCGGCGCCTGAGGTCTGCAGGCAATATGCCAGTGTTAAAATGCTCAGAATGACGCACAGATCGTGCGTCCGCATTGGCGACGCAGTTCGCCACCGTATTTGCAAGTTATAAGGTGTCTGTAACGAGTTCGACGAGTACCACTCCCGCCGAACTAGACAGCCTGGATTGCAGCATTGAAGATGTACGCAAGCTTCTGGAAAGTCTTGACGGGACGAAGCCTGCCGGGCCAGATGGAATCCACCCACTGATGCTCAAGTCCCTATCGGCCATCATCTCGCCTACTGTAACTGAGCTGTTCAACAGGCCAATATCCACTGGACTATTTCCGGATTACTGGAAATGCTAAGTCGTAAATCCAATACCGAAAGGTGATAACCCAAGCAAAGTAGAAAACCATCGGCCGATCTGCCTGACCGCTGTTTTGGCAAAGACGCTGGAGATGATCGTGAAGTAGAGTCTTCTGCAGCTTCTCGAGTCGAAATGCCTCTTGACGCTCGCACAGCATGGTTTCTTAAAATGTCGCTCGTGCAACACCAACCTAGTGTTGACGATGCACGCATAGTTACAAGCGCTGAACCAAGGCATCGGTCGACGTCATTTACATTGACTTCAGTAAGGCTTTTGACAAGGCAAATCATGCAGTGCTCCTCGACAGACTGAGGGTGTGCGGTGTTGGCGGCTCACGGCATCATTGGATCAAGAATTTCCTTGTTGAACGAAACTGGAGGGTTCAGGTGGACAGTCATTTGACCGACTGGTATGCCTTGGGGCACTGGCGTGCCCCAAGGCACTGTACTGAGGCCGATTTTGTTTCTAATCAATGTAAACGATGTACCTCAGCTACTCCAATCACCTTGTGGGCTGTTCGCAGACGACTTAAAGTGGTGGAGAGTAATCCGCACACCCAATGATTGTGACCTGCTTTAGCAAGAACTCTACTGCCTCTCCACGTGGTCGGCAGAGTTCAACCTTTCGATCAACCCGGTCAGGTCGCAATACATGAGGCTGGGTAAGTGTGAGCACAGTCGAACCTACACGGTGGCCGGTCAACCATTGCATCCCGCGTCTTTCGTGCGAGACCTCGGTGTGCTCTCACGCTACGACCTAAAGTCCATGGACAACACGAATAGGCTTTACCAAAACAGCCTTCGTATTCTTTGAGCGCTCAGGCGCAGCTTCAGCACTTGGTCGGAAGAGATTGCCACTCGACTCTTCGTCTCAATAATACGAGCAATGCTAGAGTATGACTCTCCCGCGTATTGTCCTATCACCCGAGATGAGATAGAAAAGATTGGACGAGTGCAGCATGTAGCCACTAGGTTGATTCCAAACTTACGAGGTGTACCGTACGAAGACCGGTGTAAGAAACTAGGGCTGTACATCCTAGATTATCGTCGAATGCGGATTGACCTCATCATGACGCATCGGATATTACATCTGAGAGATTACCCCATGTTGAGGCCGCTCCTTCATCTACGCACACCAAGCAGCACACGAGGACACCGGTACAAGCTTGTCGTAGCGGATTTGAAGCGGGTCGCTCACCAACTCTGTTTCAAATGCAGCGTGGTGAGTGTATGGAACGACCAGCCGCAGCACATAGTTGAGGCAAAGTAGATGTCAGAATTTAAGAAGATGCTGGACAGACAATTTGCCGACATAAAATATATCGAGCGCACCATAACTTAATAGGTATTTGTCCCTAAGTGGCATTAGATGAAGCTACACAGAGAAACCTCTACTTGCTGCTTCCAACCAGTAATCAGTAATCTTGAAAGTACTGGTTATTTGTGCCTCCCAGCACCGTTCATCCCAGCAAAGCAGAAATTGAGTTTTAAGCACTTAGTAGCTACTCTATGTTCACTCTGCAAAACTTCCTCGGACTACATGAGTTCGTTTTGCCAGTTCATATTAACCGACTTACTTGAAACGTGTACTTTCCAGGAGCTACATCTGTTATATCCACCCATTGGCAATCATAATCGTGCAGATACATATCACGACATCCGGGTGAAATACCTGTAAGAAATAGTTAAGGGTTACAAAACTGTAGTTGATGTGAGGAATAAACATGTCATTTAGCAAGACAAGCGTGTTCATCCCACGATTGTAGGGTTACAATAATTGGCGGTCAGGGAAAAGCCACTGAGGCTTAATTGGTTGACAAATTTACCTCTCATAATTACTAAAGCGCAATACTTTTAGTATCAAGCCCATGAACACTGGAGATTCAATCAAAACATAGTAGATAAGAGCTGTGCTGGCTCTTGTGCTTGCTTATTTTGTCGCATCTCATCATTATTTGAAAATGCTGACAAAACTCATTATAGGCAAAGTAGTGTGCTTTAAATGATAAAACAGCTGATTTGTCTGACCTGGATAGGGTGTTGCCGGGCTCATCGCCTCAGAATTTTTCTCGAGTAAATGAATTACCGGAATACTCTTTTACTGCTATACACGAGTCGCAATAGTTGTCATCGCGTATGGTATAACCATAACAAATTATGAAGAAACGAAGAACGCTCTTTCATGCCACCATAATTCATGATGCGAAGTACAAAACAAAAGAGTTTTCTATGAGACCGCCATCAAGCTGCTCCTTGGATGCAGTCACTAACAGAGGACGCCAAAGTTTCCTCATGTTCTTCTATAGTAACTAGATAGGAAGAGCAAAGTTTACCAGTGGTATTAAAAGGAAAAAACATCACCCAGCTAAATTCAGGTGGTGTGCCTATTTGCTACGTTTGGACGGACAATGATATGTGTGATTAGAATCGTCCGGGTTTAACTTAAACGCTTGCGCATTCCGCTGAAATATGGATATATTTGCCACCTGTTATATATGAAGGGTGATGCAATTCAATTAACCTGATTGTAGTAATTAAGTAGGAAAGCAAAAAGATAAAAATACGAGCCTCTGTATTGGTCAGAATAGCACAAGCTGACTTAAATTAACCCGTGACCAAAACTGAGATTGCGGGTTGCAATCCATGGCGCACCGTGGGTATTACAAATTACGACAATTTTTGGAAAGCTGTTTGACTCACTTGGTTTATTAGCTGTGGAAGGACACGTACGAGTCTGGCGTTTCGAGAAAGACTGATAGAGCCAATGTTGCAGGCAATTCGAAGAACTTATTCTATGTTTACCGAAAGGACCATGTTTACCCTGAACTAAAACCGATAAATAACAGTCAAGGGAAACGTTTTGCATTGTATTCTTCTCGACCTGATACCTACAAGTGTTCTGGTGGTGACTGCTCAATTTTTTTTGCATTTGTTGCAGAATATTGGAGTCCATTTTAAGCTGGCCTAGTGAAGATAGCCTTGTGGTGCTTTGTGAATACTTGTGGTGTTGTTAAATAGGCATGCTTCACTAGCATCAGTTTAGTGCAACAAATTTGAAAGGGTCGGTTCTGCAAGACAATCTGTTCAAGTTGCGGACTGTGAATTCTCTCTTTCTCCTAGTAAATTGTACCAGTCTTCAACCGAGTTGTACAGAGATATGAAACCACAAACACTCAAGAGCCGTTGAAATGGTAAACGTTCCCTTTATCCCAAAGCGTAATCGCATATTCTAAAACTTAAAGGCATATACAGAGGAATACAATGGTTAAACATGTCCGAGCTATTCAGGTGTTTCAATTGGATAGTTCCATAGTTTTTGCGACTATTTTGCCTCTGCTATTTATCAACGCAAACTTACACGCCGTACATTTGCATTTACAAATTCTACCTGCCGGCGGTTCTTTAAGACTTATGTCACACAGCCCCCTGTTGCCTAATTTGGGGAAATATTGCTTTTTAAAAGTTAACTTATTTCTTTAGAATAGAACAAAGTCAGACTTTAACCAAAGGCTGGCTGGGCAACAACGAACTCTATGGTTACTAATATGACAAAATGAACACCGGGTTGTAGCATATAAACTGCTGTTGCATTGGCGACACACAACGAATTGCAGCATTGTATTTTAACGGTGCCAACAGTTCCTACGCAATGGCAGCCGCATTATCCGTGTACATAACGGGCCCCGTCACACGTATACTGGTGGTAACAGCATTTGCTTTGTTCAACAACTCACGCAGTTTTTACATTTGACTTGAAGCAAACGAGAAAGGAACTCTGACTATCAAGCAGCCACCCGTAAAGCAACACTAATCTGGGTGAAGAAGAACCCACACTCAATTTTCAATATGCGTACTGAGTGGGTGTATTCGCCAGTTTGTTTGCTCAGTGCCGCCATGTCAGAGAAAACCAATCCGACACAACTTATTTGGCCCCCACGTGGACGGTTTTAGCAGAACGGTTATTACTTGAGTGCGTTCAATTTCTGGCCACTCTACACACCTATTGTAACCTATTTTAATGCGAATCTAAACAGGCTCCCCGTGAAAAATAATCTGGTAAATTTATGTTGGGCATAAAGAATTACAATTCTTACGGAAGTCTTCAAACACGTATGGTAAGGCATATGCCTAAGTGCATTAGCAAACGACGTTCAAGTTGACCGCTACAAAGCAGCAGCAGGACTGTTGTCAACTTCATTGTAGCTCACCTAGCCGAACTCGGCAGCACTTTTAAGTGTGTTGTAAAGGTTCCCACGCTGGTCATTGAGTTCGTGTCTGTATACCAACGTGAATACCGAAGCAACACTCATCCGACTAATTCTATCGGCTTTATACTTCTACACTAATCAGTTCTTGCCTGAGGGGCTGAAGTGACCCAGAAAGTATCGTGGATCGAGCATCGAGGACTTAATTATTTAAGGGATAGAAATGTTCAGGATGTGCCTGTAAATATATGTGCTGCATGCTACCGTCTACCCGTCTCAGCTAGATCATACGAAAGGTGTTCTGCCGGTTTACCTGAAATTGCAAACGTTTTATTAAAAAGATTCTGAAACAACTATGTTAGTGCCAATAATATGTAGTTCGTGCAATTACGGATTAACTATAAGCAGAAGCGAGGTAAGTGATGGATTCATTAAGAAATGTACCCTACATATGTATAGACTGAGTACATCTCAAGTTCATCATTTTCCCTGTTTTATGGTATAAACATAGACATGTGACTCGAGGACAGACCCAGAGTTTGATTCAATGACCGTAGGGTTTTAGACATTATTTGATTGTGAACCGTTACAGCAGACGTTCTCTGAATAGGGACACCAAAATTTGGAGCAAGCTACTAGCTGTTGTTTGCACCGGTACATCGGAGTGTGACTTTCTTAAATTAATGGTTTTATGACTGTCGGTAATCTACTCAAGTTTCTAGAATATTCCATAGCTACCACACTGGTTTACGATCAAAGTCCAAGTAGCATAGCTCCATAAGTTTCTCAGGAGCCTTCCAACTATACCAAAAATCAGCAAAAACAATACAGTCAAACTTGCTTCTATAGAACACACACTAGCTTTACTAGGTTTAAAGAATCGCCGATAGCAAGTGGTACTTAAAACACCAGTTGGTTAAACACAATTGCTATTGTATTGTTCCTCCAACCAACTTGGCCATTATTACATCTCCTAGGCTTTTAGCAGCTACACTGCTGACCAAATGCTATCCAAACTACTGCTGTGTAATTTAATTTGATCCGATTTGGTTTAACTCAATTCGATTACAAGCCGCATGTGTGAGCTACCAAACCGAAAAAGCATCAGACGATCGTTTCACCATATTTGGACTGTTCAGCGTTCCCCATTCTCTCGGTCTCCTGTGGGGATCGAACCCATGACCGTCTGTGGTTTGCACCACTAGCCAGCAGCTTATGCCACTGATTCATGGGGGACGATAGCCAACCATCACGGATTTAAATGTAACTGCGATATAGCTCGACGCGTTCTCTACCGCCATACTGGCTTTTGCCGATGCAGAGGACAGTGATTGTCCGTCCGGGTCAGGACTTCCCTTGCCAGTGCTGTGAATACACACAGCAGTTGAGGACTGGTAGTGCTTAGCACATTGGTACTGCCGTATACGTTGCTTGCAATCTCGGTCCCATTTAAGTACGTCTGCAACACTTTTTGTGCGCAAGCCTGTACTTCAGTTTATCCTGACCCAAACACGCATCATCCGCCAGTAAAACGATGGGTATACTTGTAAGCCTTTAGAAGGCGGCCGCAACGAAAGAACTCTGTGACACGCTTGCGCGACGTGAAATGGACTGGCGACAACTCACGCGGAAAGCTAGTGAAAGCAGTCCGTCCTCGTGACACAGGTTGCTAAGCAAGCGGCGAGAGCACGACAACAGTTTGCCAGTGGACACCACTAGCAGGTTTGGATCTGTCCAGAAAAGTGACGTGAGGCAGACCAGAAAAGTGCAGCCGGAGGTGATGGCGTGTAACCTCAAAAATTAAAGGTGCTATGTCCTTAATACACTTGGTCTGTCAGGTCTCGGTATTCTGTTTTCCCCGGCTGGGTTTGTGGCACAGAGAGCAAAGGTAAGGGCAGCGTCACGGCAGTTTGATAGACAACCTCTCGGCGCCTCCTCAAACGACCTAATCCATCAGTTTACTCCTCAGTGCTATTGGGCCCGAACACTTACTAGTAGAAAGTCGAACCAATGACTGGCTAGCTGGCTAGAGTTTCAGAACATGTTCAATACAACTCTTATTTAGAACTTCACCCTACTGAACACTTATCGTATACCAGTTTAAACATTGCATATAAGGGCGGTGGTTCTGATTCAAGTTACCTACGCGTTTTAAAGCCTTCTATTTCACCAATTATTTTATCCGATACCACAAACAGCCTACTAAAATGGATATGCAGATAACTTTTCCAGCTAGGATCGACTGCTGATAATTGCTTTATTATTTTCCTAAACCAGGCCGAACGGGTTGATTTCCCAGTGTACTTGACACCTGGAATATACCTCAGCAAAAGTTACAGACTTCTGCAATGTATTCGTTTGCATGTTTCATCAGTATATACTACTGTTTATCCAGTCCCGTTGTCAGGTGTTATTGTATTGTGGTTTCGTCGCAGCAGCTAACAAAGCACGTGGCCCTCTACACAGCGGGCGAAGCACCAGCCGGTCGTTTCGTTTTATCGTTGACTTGTCATTGGTGCGCATCTTCCGGTTTCATCAGGATCAGAACCCATAAACCCTGCTTGGTTGCGCCGCTGGGCAGCAGCACATGTAATTCATTCAATTAAGACGACGTAGGACCATCATTGTTTACAGCCGAACTGTGTACTAGTGCGACTCATCCTCTCATGAAATGTGAAGGATGGAACTTACATAGAACTGGGTTGGCTCCAAGGAGTCACGGCTTCCAATAATAACAGCTACTTACAACAGCACTCAGAAGCTTTTTGGCTGGAGGGGATTTTCCGGATTGGCGGTATACTGTCTGATTTGTAAGCTGCGAAGAAATCTTGAGGTAACAGCATCAGAAACACTTAATCATTGGCAATAGCAGTCCAACGTGCTGTGAGGACTACCTGTCTACGGGGAGCACTTCATGTCGATCCTCAAAGTTTTCTCCTATGAATAGTGTCCTTATACATGAACCTGTTCATGAAGACCGCATGTCCAAGGAGACGACGTTTTGTCAGGCCCTCGAGTTGCGGCCTTAGACAGGTTTGACTGTATTATTTTCTTTTCTTGATTTCTTTTAATGCCGTAGTTCGTCTCAGTAACATCAAAGTTATCGTTAACAACTGTTACTATTTTGTGTGAAATGACACGACGACGCACTGAATAAGAAAAAGCCGTTCACGCTCACAATTCGGAGTGGATCCTATCCAAATTGAATAGACCAGGTTTACTAAACCTTACCCAGCATTTTTGAGAAACGCAGATTTTTAATATTGATACTGCTACTGCAGCCACAATTATTTTATTATTATGGCCACCATATATATATATATATATATAGTTGTGCGTTCCAGATAAGTGTAAGCTTGAATACATAGAAAAGTGTATTTGTTGGTTTGCACCCAAGATAGATTGCTGAATAACTGGAAACACGAATGCGCTCGGTACTTTCGCACAGTAATTAAACCTCAGTTGACCAAATGTTGCGCTGCAAGATTATACCCTACGGTATATCACATTCCGTTAACAAGTATTATGCTAAACCAGCCTTATGGCGCACCGGTGCTCCTGTTTCATCTCTTTGGCCGTAGTGCAACAGTAGTACCACAAACACACCTGCTCCGATGGCGTTGCACAATTAGCCCAGATTTCATTACGCTATGCTAAAAATGACTAGCGAACATCTTCTACAAAATGACAACTGTGCATAATAAACAGTAACTGCTGTTTGCTCTAAAGCAAGGAAACCTACCTGAATAAGTTAAATGTTTCGCAAAGTAATTAATACAGAAGTAGGAGCAAAACTGATTGTATGATCAGGAAGTCTGGCCTGCAAAACACCTCTCGAATATAGCGATGTACAAATACACATTAGCAACAAGGGATCGAGAAGCAAGTATATCGCCACGGTACATATTGTCATGCACATCTAACAGATGATTGGGCTAATTTCGGAACCAGCGAGCGTGCCTGGGATCAGTAGAATGAATTATTAGTTAAGACCGGTTAAAGATAATCCGAAACGAAGAGTAACCTCCTACTGAGATGAAAGCGAGTTTAGTGAAGGCGCTTAAGATATTGAGATCATGGTACTAAAGTGCATTAAACACTAGGCTCTCGAACAATGAACACACCCAAACTAAAGACTGACATGGCACTTACCTTGCAGACCGGCTTAACTAACTGGTGAAAATATTATTCTAAGCTTTTAAAAGTATACAATGTTAGCTACCCGTGTCGCTAACCTTGTGTACCCTTTCTGTCGACGACATTGCTGCACCGAAATTTGGCAGGCAAGCCAGGTTGGCATAGGTTGTCCTCCAAACAGAAACTGGCTTTAAGTCCAACTGACACCAGTCGCTTCTCAAGATCGATAACTTCGTAACGTGAAAAGACTTTCATACTGTGGTAATGCCTGTTCAAAGACAATGGTATACGGTTATTTGGCAGGCATCCTGCGTACCAAACTTGTACTAGGTGTAGACTCAAAGTATAAACTGGAGCCATCCCTGAAGCAGACGATTGAATGAATGAAGTGTGCTGAGAAATGGTGCCGTAGTAACGTTACGACTGTTATTCAGGTTACGTCTTATCGCAAAGAGAGTATACTGTTGGTTGATTTCAGTTAACCCTTCAAGTTAAAGGCGATTATTTCAAATGGCTTCATAAGTCCTTTCATCATGACTCCGCTGCTCGAGCATTTAACGGCATTTGCTTAACCACCCGCTTCCTCTGTCATGTCTAGGTTTTCCTTCCTGTGTTAAACACCAACAGTATTTGTCTTGGAACTGCAAATGAGGAGGCTGTTCTTATTACTGCAATAAGACGACGAGCGTTGACAATAAAAGGCTTTCTTAAAATGCAACTTATTAATCAGCCTAGACAAATAAAAATGGAGGATTTCACAAGTACCTACCGGCCATGAATTCCGAGGTAGACATTTCTGTCTGCTAGTCAAGCTAAAGCCAGCTACCGGCTTATCATGAGTTGTTGACTACATGGATTGCGGCAAAGTCGTTTTATTTCTTCTAACATGTTTTGTACATAGTTTTACACTTAGACGGCACTGAAGCTTGCTCGATAGAACTTTCAGTTCCCAGAACGAATTACCATTTCCGATGTATTAGCGGTTTAGATGGTCCATAGAGGAAATTTTTCACAACGAGACGAGTATGACAAATAATTGCACCGTCGTTTCAAAATTTCGGAGTATGTTAGCAACGCATATGAAAGCAGACTAAATAGAAAGTATATATAACGTAACTATCTCATGTTGATCAATCGCACAAGAGGACAGGATTGCGCTTTCTCAGTAGTAGACAAGTGGAGCTATCGATCTGTTCAATTCTTCAACGTAATCATCTGGCAGCCATGAGATTGCCATTTACAAGTTACCGGGCAACACCGATTAGAAAAACAAGTAGTGTATAAGGCGTAAGCAGCCAAGTTTGATTGTAACCGGCTTGCCGAACATCCTCCGCAAGGTGCCAGATGGATGTTTTAATCTAATCGCTTTCCAGTAAATGGTATTGCGGAAGTGTTCCAGGATGCAGTGGGTTTTCATCTGGTAAGCGTTCTGCTTATCAAAGCCACATATGGCCGTTTAACAAGGCTGTGACTTAGCACATGTGACTCGCTATCAAATAAAGTCACGTCCACAATGTTTCACCCAAATGTAACATTGTCCACCAGCAGCTGGATGCTGAAACTGCAATGGCATAAGGCCCTTGGTATGAAATTTATCAAACAAAAGTTGTATGAACAGAGAAGTCGGTTATCGGTTTCCCTTAGGTGCAATTCCCTGGATTGCTCGCGCTAGCTTGACGGTAGGCTGTCGATCAAAAGACTCAAAGTATTTTCCCCGAACCAACTGCTTACTTTGACATGGGCAACTAGGCGGTATCGCACCCCCAGCAACAGGCATGCATTACTCTCCGATTTCCTTACACTCTTTGGTTCCTCTTTCCCTCACTTTTCAACATGCTCCAGAACACACCAAGTATACTTTGTTGATCCTGTTACTCCGGATTTCAGCTCAAGGCCGATTTTGCTGCCGCCCGTGAAGACTAGCCTCAGGCTACATCTCAATGTTAGGACATTTATGCAGGTCTGGCAAGGAGCCGATATAGCAAGTACAGTAATTTCCGTCGCTATTACTATCTGTTGACTTTGTGAAACAAGATTGTATGACTAAAGCACTGTGTTCAAAATGGCATTGCCACCCAAACAAGAAGCTACATCCCAACTATGTTTGTCTAGTTAAGCAGAAGAAGCTGCTGTTGGTTTGGAAGGCATTGATGTGGCTTTAAGTAACAAAGCTAATGCCGCACTCCTGGATTGGTTCCTGGTTAACATCGACTATGTCCAGCTTGGTTTCAAGGTTCAAGCAAGGTGCACATGCACCTCACAGAAAGGCTCAAGCTATTTGTCGTCATCGCATATGCATCCGCCCGTTATCATGTTGTCGCTAAGGATCCTCAGCTGTTACGTAAAGAAGCCAGGCTGGACGTCGTTATGCTCGCCGGAGACGAACGCGCACGGGTTGGTCGAATGTTACTAAGGGTAATCTGGACAAGGCGGATCTTGCCGTCTGCGAGTTCCTTCTGTTGCGGATGATGAGATTGTTTGTCCCTCTTCTGCGCCTGCTTACAGAGCGTCTACTGCACCGCGCCTCTTTTGCGCACGCGTGGCCAAACTGGAAAAGCCACATGGAGGTCAACCGAGTATTTTTGGAAATGGATGTAGAAAAGTATGCATTAATTAGGGGGTCATTTTGAAGTACACGTTGTGTGAATGTATTGAAACGCTCAGTTTCAACCTGCACCATGATCCCAATTGAAGTGAACCTTGGTCAAATTGATCACCGTGACTGTAACTGACGAGGCAGATAGACCTTGGGTGTTACCCTCTTGAAAATACGACACTCCATGATGCGGTTCAACCTTATATGTTCTCAGCAAATCACAACTAACATCCCGTTGGTCCCGGGTTCGAGGCCTACTAACTCTATCTAATAAGAGCAAATAAGACCGAAACGCGTCATACAGTGCATTGTATTCGGGCGGGCAACACTCGATATTATGCCGCATATCCACCGTGGGTTTTAGAGATTTGGACCTAAAAACTACAATCTCAATGGCTAAAGATGCTTGCAACACTAACGCAATCGGATTTCACTGGAGGCAAGATGTATACTTGTCCGTAATGTGCGATGTTTTTTAACATTTTGCTTTTATAATTTGACCAAAATATGCGAAGCAACGTGTAAAGCGACAAAAGGTATTGATTTCCTTAGTATATTTTAATTATTGGCTCATCTTCACAAGTGTCATACACATTGTAGCGCGGCGCACAGTGTTGTTTTAACCTCCCCGAAAACCCCCTCTTCCGCCTGTCGTGACATGGACTACGGACGCTTCATCCTGCGCTTGGTTGCTCACGGCTACTCGCCAACATCCTGGGGTTGGCTTGTCAGCAGGCATTCGAGCGTCGGTATTCGTGCTCATTAGGTAGTTGTGGTTTGAGCTCCGGCCATCTAAGTTCTCCTTGCTTTACCATGCAGGTCATCAGATTCATACTATTCGTAAGAGAGGTAGTCGCACTGTCCCAACCAATTATCGTTCGATAACACTATTCCGTGTGCTTTCCAAGGTTATGGAGTCTATCATCGCTGATGCACTCACGCCATATCTGGAAAATCACAACCTGACAACACCAGAGCAACATTGCTTCAGACAAAAAGGCTAATGTCCTACGAACCTGCTAACTGCACGCAGTAGCTTGACTGAAGCAGTTGATGGTGGAGCAGGAGTCGATGTCATGTACCTAGAATTTTCAAAAGCGTTTGATCGCTTAGACCAGCGAATACTTCTCCATAAACTTCAGCTCTATGGCGCTGGTGACCCACTGCTTCGTTGGATAGGCGGTTTCCTGTTCGAACGTCGGTTGGAGGTGCGAGTACGAGAATCCCGGCCCGACGCAATTGTGGTGAAGTGGGACCTACCACAAGGCCAGGTGTTCGGGCCCCGTCTATTCTTAATTTGCATAAACGATCTAAGAAGGAAAGTTACTTCGGCGTTCCTACTCTTCACGGATGATATCAAGTTATGGCGAGCAAGCAGAGAACCGAACGACCAAGATAAGCTCCAGCGGACCTCAACACGATTTCAGGCTGGTCAGTTCTGAATACACTACCGTTCAATACAGAAAATGTCACGCTGTTCAATTGCGCCATAGGCATGAATAGGCGTTTGGGCTTAGGTCACGTGTATCGCAAACAACTGCCTAAGAACGCGACCTTGGTGTGCACATTCAGAGTGACCTTAACTGTTCACAGCAGTCAGAGGCAGCTGTGAAGAGAGCCAACCAACACGTCGGCTTACTGTGGAGAGCATTCGGAAGTTTCGACCCATCCATTTTCCCGTGATGCACAACACTTACGTGGCCTTTACGTTGAATACGCCATCTAGGCTTGGCAACGTTCCTTAAAGCGCGATTTAGAACTGCTAGATAAACCACAAAGCAGAGCTACAATGAACATCAAGATCCTACGAAATCCGTCCTATCATCAAGGGATGAACTCAATGGGAGTTTTCAGTGACCGCTACCGAAGACTGCGCGGAGATGTCATATTAGTTTACCAAATAATGTGTGACCTTAATCACTTGCTGAAACTCAGCCATCACACGCATTTCAGAGCTAACTCTCTGAAATTGTGTGAACAGTAAAACCGTCTGGAATGTCGGCCGAAGTATTTTTCGCTTCCGGTTTACCAACCCTGGAACTCTCTCCCAAACTTAATTGTTTTCTCCCCTAACTAGAATATTTTCAAACAAATTAGATCGTGTCCTTGTCCCCCCTCACTTCCTTGCCTAAACTATGTTATTTTGGAAGATATTAATTATCCTCTCAAACCGGATTAACATGTTAGGTGAATCCTAGGAGGTGGTACAGGAGTGAGCATTCTCGTTCGTAGTTTTCTCACAGAGTACAACGATGGCTGTCCCCATGCTGCCTCGTAGTTTACATTTATGATGCTTTATTTTTACCGCAGTTGGGCTAAGTATCGTTAAACTAAATCATTTAATCTGGTTAATAGTCATTCCACACTATTTGGTTTGTGCAATTCTGTTATTCTGCGGCATATTCAGTGTCGATTTTGCGTGTGTGGTTTCCTTAACTTCTACTTTGGTTGTTTGATATCCCCGATGTGGCTGCGCTTGATGTGCATGTTGACAAGGTGCCTACCTGTCTATCACTGTCCATCACGATTACGGCCTCCAGGAGACAGTTTGTCGTTGCTGGAGTGGACGGGGGGGCACAGTCCTTGTGGCCGTGCTAGGCTCGAAGAGCGGTTCCATGCACTCAGTGTAGAGCGGAGTACGGTCCAGCCACCGCCTTGTGTGCGCTTGATTC